GCTACCATGCCCGGCTAATTTTTGATTTATTGTAGAGATTAGGTCTCACCAAGTTGCCCACGCAGGTCTCGAACCAGTGGGCTCAGGTAATCCACTCACCTCAGCCTCCCAAAGCACTGGGATTACAGGCTGAACCACCGAGCCTGACTCCTTTTTTTTTTTTTTGAGTTGGAGTCTCACTCCATTGCCCAGGCTGGGGTGCAGCGGCACGCTCATGGCCACCCCAGTGTCGACCTGCTGGGCTCAGGTGATCCTTCCACCTCAGCTTCCACGTAGCTGGAACTACAGGCGCGCACTACCATCCCTAGCTAATTTATTTTTTTGAGAAAGCAGAATTTATTGAGAGGACAGAAAAGCTCCCACAGTGGGAGGGGACCCAAGAGGGTTGCCCCCAGCTAATTTTTTTATTTATTGTAGAGATGAGGTCTCACCAAGTTGCCCAGGCTGTTCTCCAAACCATTGGCTCAGGCAATCCCCTCATTTCGGCCTCCCAAGGTACTGAGATTACAGGCTTGAGCCACCGCACCCAGCCCCAAACCCTTCTTAACTTTGTTGTCTGGATCACTTATGATCAGGAATTCTTACCTGGTGGTGATGTGGTTTCCTTTTGCAGGAGGGCAGTGAGAGGGAGCTACTACAGCAGCAGCTCCAGGAGGCCAATCGAAGAGCCCAGGAGTACCGACACCAGCTCCTCCAGAAAGAGCAAGAAGCGGAACAGTACCGCCTTAGGCTGGAGGCCATGGCCCGCCAGCAGCCCAATGGCATTGACTTCACCGTGGTCGAAGAGGTGGCTGAGGTAGATGCCGTAGTAGTCACAGAGGGGGAGTTGGAAGAGAGAGAGACAAAAGTGACTGGGGCAGCGGGGACCACAGAGCTGCATACTGGAGTTTCCATGGAAACTGTTTCATCTTAACATGCAAGGGCCACAACTTGCACTGTGTTCATCATCTTCCTCTTTAAAAAAGAAAACACAAAAGACAAACATTGTATAAAAATTAAGACCGCCCTTAGGAAGCAAATGATAGCAGGGCACAATGCCTTGGGCTCAGGAAGGCTCTCTGGAAAATTCAAGCCATAGTAGGGAACACTCCTTCTGAGGAGGCAAAAGAAAAAAGACTAGATGTCTCAGCTCACATCATTGCCTTAAGCATCGAGGTCAAAGAATGTTGGATGTTGTGGGTTGATTTTTTAAAATTATTTTTTGTGGAGACTGAGTCTCGCTATGTTCCCCAGGCTGGACTTGAACTCCTGGCCTCAAGTAATTCTCCCACCTTGGCCTTCCAAAGTGCTGAGGTTATAGGCATGAGCCACTGCACCTGGCTGATTATTTTTTTAAATAACTGACTTTCTATCAAAAGATTTTAAGATAGCATTTCTAATATATATACACCAAAAGCCTTTAATAATTACCATGAAGTGACCTGAAAATTTGCCTTAGATTTGTGATGTTGTAGAAACTCATTGGGAGGGAGGGTAGAAGCAAGCTTTGGGAAGAAAAAGGAATATATTCCACTTCCAAAGGAGCAAGAACTCCCAACTAGTCTGAGTTAATTTCACTGAAAGGAAATTTTTTATTGCCTGACAAGTATGTACCTATTGTATGCCCACAACTCAAATGCCAGTTTAAGAAGATGAAATCGTTTTTGAAAACTGGAAAGACTTGTTTATGTGGGAGAAGTATATATAAAACCCAAGTCCTCTAGCCGGGTGCAGGCTCACGCCTATAATCCCAGCACTCTGGGAGGTGGAGGTGAGAGGATTGTCTGAGTCCAGGGGTTTGAGACCAGCTTGGGCAACTTGATGAGATCTCAACTTTACAATAAATAAAAAAATTAGCCAGGCATGATGGCACATGCCTATAGTTCCAGCTACTTGGAATGCTGAAGCAGAAGGATCGCCTGAGCCCAGCAGGACAAGACTACAGTGGCCCTGAGCGTGCTACTGCACTCCAACCTGGGTGACAGAGTAAGACTCCGACTCAAAAAAAAAAAAAGAAACCCAAGTCCTCTAGGCTGTGTTTCCACAGTGCTGGCAAGTGACTGAAAAGAGCCTTGTGGGGCTGTGAGGTCCCAGATAGAAACTTTGCTGTGACTGGATTTTATAAAGCCACAATCAGAAAGGTAGGCTCTTGTCAGAACAACTTGCTTCCAAACATTTATTTTTGTAATATCAAGCTCAGACTCTTTAATTTCATAAAACTTTTTTTTAACTTTCTAAGTGTCTTTTAGGACATAGGTGTGCTTTTTAGTGGAGTTGACATGGTAAACAAGAACTCCTAATATGCAAAAGAGTGGGGAGGGGGTAGAGATAAATGCTGATGATGTTGTATATATATATTTTTTTTAGTTGAAGTCTCACTCTGTTGCCCAGGCTGGAGTGTAGTGGCACACTCACAGCTACTGCAGCCTTGACCTGCTGGGCTTAGGCGGTCCTTCCACCTCAGCCTCCCAAGTAGCTGGAACTACAGATGTGTGCTACCACGCCGGCTAATTTTTTGATTTATTGTAGAGACGAGGTCTCGCCAAGTTGCCCAGGCTGGTCTTGAACCCCTGCGCCCAGGCATTCCTTTCGCCTCCTCTTCCCAAAGTGCTGGGATTACAGGCATGAGCCACCACACCCAACAATGTTGTACAGTTTTATTTCTATCTGATTTGGGGTGAGTAAATTGCTGTTTCCTTAAGCTTTGTATCTTACAGGTGCTCAGTGTGTGTTGACAAAAGGAAGAACCATCAGTACCATAAAGTAGCGGACCAAAGATTCTGTCCCGATACTCTTCCTCCCTTCTCTCCCACTATGCCTACTTCCTCTGCCCAGTGACTTTTGGAAAGTGTTTCATTGCTGGGTTTTCTTTGTATGTTAGCGCAGAGTTTTTCCCAAAGAAAGGGAATATGGATGGAGAGAGAGAGGTTGTGGACATGTTACATCATAGCGGTTATTGCCTTTGAAACTGGGCCTTCATCATTCTAGATTTGCTTGCTTGTTTTGTTATAAATTAGAAGAAAAACCAGAGGGAAATGTGCCAAGTAAATATTTGAATGACTGTTTACAATATGGTTTTCTTAATTAGCGATCATGGGAAAACATGCATTTTTAATCTGGAAAAAAACTTGACAGTTAACATGGTTCTGTTTACCTTGATTAGTGAAGTAATTTGCTGCAGTGTTCCAGAGGTGCAGAATCATTTTGGGATCAAAATAGACTGAAAATGTAACTTCCCAAGCCAAATTTAACAATTGGCTACTAGAGGTTTATAGGCAGAAATAATCAGTTTTGAAATTAATCTTGGCTACTGGCCACCTTAGCTAGGTTTCCTCCACAGATGAGTGCTGAGCACTTCCTAAATGATCAGAGACTGTTCTGGACTGTTGGAGATGACAGAAAAATTCAGTGGTGTAGCTGAGGTAAGGGTGATGATGAAATTATGTTATCTGCTGTCAGATACTACAATGTTTTGTGTCCCTTTGGGAGCCAGGTGCCAACAATAAGCTGTTATGTGTGGCATTTTAGAACATTAGCTTAACTATAGAGGAATCAGGTATCATTTTAGAAGTCTTTTGTTTATGTTCTTAGTGCATCTGTTGGCTTCAATTCCCTTTTCCCCCTGTTAACTCAGCAGATGACATTCAGGCCCAGCCATCTCACTCTCTGGGGTGGCCACTGACTGACAGGGAATGTCCATTCAACACTCCCTTCAGAGTATAGAGTCACCAGTTTTGTGGAGAACTGTTTAGGAGTTCCTGTTATTCTCTTCCTATAGAAGCTATCATTCCCACCCCCAACAAATGTCTAATACAGGCCAAGTCATTTCTGATAATGGGGTCTTTGAGATAGGGGGATTTGTTAGAGGAGAGGCTGGGATAGGCACAGAGAGAATGGAAATATCTGAAAAGGGATGGGTAGGGAAAAGGTATTCCTTTTTATTTCCTTGGACTAGACCTTTGAGCATCCCAGAGAAGGGAAATAGGATTTCTCCTATCCAGTTGTGTTGCCAGATGAGAACAGTAGGTCACGATGCCTTGAAGTAGTTAGAAATGAAATAATGAATACATTAATGGCAATACCACTTAATGATTTTGCCTGTCCTTTTGGATCAGTCATGGAAGTTCAGAAAATGTTGCATAGATATTCTGGATTAGAGGATTCTAACTGGCTTATTGGCAAGGTTAGATTATTGAGAATCAAAAATAGGGAAATAGTTCAGAGTTTCCGGGACTTGAGCAAGAGAAACTTGGAGCTTAGGATAGTTGTCTACAATAAAGCTGCTTTAGCAATGCCAGTATTAATGTCAGGAATTTTAGATCCTACTTTTGTATTTTGGTCTTAAGCCCTTTCCTCCAAAATAGAAAGAAATATTAATACTTCCGTTCTTATTCCTAACTTCAGGGAAATTAACTATAAATGTATAAATATGCATTCTCTTCCCATCACTACCTCTGTAGGATCTCCTGATTGTAATGCCAAAGTCAGGGTCTCTTAATTGAACTATGGGAGAATCTGACTTTAGTTTAGTGGTTTTTTGTTTTTTTTTTTTTAATATTTAGAGATATGGGGTCTTGCTATGTTGCCCAGGCTGTACTCAAATTCCTGGGTTCAAGCATTCCCCTTGCCTCAGCCTTCCAAGTAGCTGGGACTACAGAGGTATACCACCACACCTGGCTGGCTTTAGGTTTTTATATTTTAAACTCAGTGCCTTAAAAGATGTTATTTTTCTCTGTCAGATGATACATTTAATTATTTTTTACTTTGACTTTTCCCCTTCTTCAGCCTTATCATTGTACTATTAAAATGTTTGTGTGTGCTCAGTCATGTTAGAAATCTATGGCATATAAATTGACTTTTATATTAATGTAAAAGAAATGAATTGCCCAGAGGGCTCTCCAGATGAAATTGAGTTTGTAAGACCAGGCATTTTTTTTTTTTTTTTTTTTGG